TGGATAGAACTTTTTGAAATTCTGTTCAAATAGTAAGTTTTCCCCAAATTATTTCAAATTTGAATAATGACTACAAAATTATGTTAGAGTGTAATGGAAATGCTTGACCTTCTAGGCATTTGAGGTTTGTCAGCAACAGCACAGTGGTTCCAGCACCCGTGCCCTGGAGCTGGGCGCCCCGGCCTGGGACCCCGGCTCTCACTGAGAGGGACTCAGTTCACTCAACTCCCGGAGCTCAGTTCTGCCCCTGAAATACAGGGTTAATGAAAACCTGTCTCACAAGGTTGCTGGGACAAGTCAATGAAAACCGTCCACGTGCAATGCTTTACACACAGTAAATGTTCAGTAATAATTATTCTTTTCTTCAGAATTTTGCCTCATCTTCTTGGACTCAGATTGATAAAGTGTTTTCTCAGAACAACATTCTATATTTATCATCCCATAGTTTAAATGTCTGATTTACTCAAAGTGGGAAAAAAACTCAGGCATAACTAGTTTTTACTGTATAATGTTACTTTGTACTGAAGAACACAGTTCTAAAGGCCACTGTCCCAAATATGTGAAAAATCAGTTTTACCATGAAATCTGAATTATGTGAAGGTGAAAATCTAACAAAAAGACCACCCGCAACTACCAGTTATTTGTTTACCTTTGCATTATATTCCATTTGAGTCAGCATAATCTTTATTTCAAAATAGCATTTTTATTATATAAAAATGTAAAAATCCAGCAAAACCAGAAATACCGGATATATTTTCCTGGGCTTTCACATTTGTTGATTTTTATTCGCAATCTCTTTTTCAATACAATTTACAACCTCATCCCATGTGCAGTCTGATTATACAAGTGCTAAGTGGCAGAAAGGTCTAGAATAAATACACCAAAAACAGGCAAAGCTGTGAAACTAAGTTGCATGCAACAGATCTATCAGGGGGAAGGGAAGTGCCTGGGAAATAAAACAGAGTAAGACAAAGTAATAGGAAAGTTTTAGCTAAAGTTCCTTCAATCGTCTTTGTCTTTTGCTCCATGTTTAAGGATGCGCGTGAACTCAATGTAATTGAAATTCCCCTTTTTGTCAATAGGCGCTTCCCTGTACAGCTCGTCCACCTCCTCGTCTGTGAACCGATCGCCCATGGTCGTCAGCAGCTCCCTCAGGTAATCCTCCTGAATGGTGCCTGGGAGGCAGCAGAAAGAAGGGAGTCATGAGCACTTCCTGGCACTTTACTGATTCGGTTCTCAACTAGGTCAGTCTTACAAGATTTCACAATACATATATTTACGTGAACAAATTAGCGAACCAAGGCAACATGTAGCTACATCATTATGTTTTCCTATTACTTTTAGAATTCTGTATTAATATTAGATTAAATCATTTTAAAAGCTCAGTTGATAGATCATATGCTTACAAGGGTAATTAATTTGAAGCAAGTGTTTTCCAGAGGAGAAAAAAAAACACCCTGTATTTCAGACATACAGAGGGAAAAAAAGGGAGCTGTCCAGAAAAAAAAGGCAGTGGTGCCAAGAGCAGATGTGCAGGGAGGAGGACGGTGCAGTCTGAAAAGGCAGAGCCACTGAGCAGGACGGAGCTGCGAGGTGTATCTGAGGAGATGTGGGTGGCGGAGCATGGCGGAGCAGAGTGTTAACACAGAAGGAAAGGGGAAAACGCGGAGTGAGAAAAGAGAACAGCTAGGCTTTACACACTTTAAAATAAGAAGAAGGAAAAAAACCCTAAGATTTTAACTGTTCAAATTAGATACATACTTCTTGGTGAGATTTAAAATTTCCTGAGTAAGTTAAGTAATTTCCTTGTCTAAGAAACACCATTTAACAATTTTCCCTTTGTCTTTCAGGAAGCTCAGAACCAACTCAAGGATTCACAGCACACACTGTGTAGCTTTATGACCTACATACCATTCCAGTTGTTCTCTGTGGGACGGTCCTACTGTAAGTGACAGTTTCCTTTTATTCATTTTTTTGAAAATTTGTATTTTACTCATCGTTTTCATTTCCTAAAAAGTGCTTCACATAGTCAGGAACGAGACTGGGCACCAACAAATGAAGAGCACTTACCGGTTGCCTCTTCGTCGAAGCAGGCGAAAGCATTTCTGATGACGTCCTCAGGGTCGGTGCCATTCAGCTTCTCGCCAAACATGGTGAGGAACATGGTGAAGTTTATGGGCCCTGGCGCCTCATTCATCATGGCGTCCAGGTATGCGTCAGTTGGGTTCTTCCCTATAAAATGTCACAGTTTAAGGACAAAGAACTCATTTCAATAAATAATTTATTGTAATGGTCCCCAGCATATTTTAAAAAGTTACATCATCATCACATGAGACTAATTTTTCAACTAACTTACATTAAGAACATTTAAAAATACAATTTTTGACAACATAAAAAGTCCTTGATAGATCATTATAAAAATGCATTCTGGGCTCACGTTGCTCAACCACAGTCTTGTGTAGTATTGCTCGTGATGGGAAATCTCAGGGCCAACTGAGAAGACTTCTCCTTCGTCCAGCACAGTGGTGAGGGGACCCCCTGACCCTCCCCTTGGAGTTGGGAGAAATTCCTCTGCAACGGCCAGACTTGGTGGGAGTTAACAAAGAGCTCCTCCTCGTCCTGGCATTTGTGAGGTCCTCAGGGTGCAGGAAAAGCAGCCCTGAACAAAGGCTTTTGAACAGTGGGTTTGAATACGAGTTCTGCCACTGGCTGTGTGACCTGGGAGAAGGGGGAAACTGTCGAGGGCTTACTCTTACCTGTAAAATTGGCTGAAGTTGGTATCTGAAAGGCCTCTGACAACGTTAAGTTTGTAAGATTCTCAGACATGGAAAGAACATCTATATGTAAGCATCCCCTTATTACACCCAACTAAGTGCTAATGATAGTCAAGTCTAGAACTTTAGTTCATTTATAAGTTTACTCCTAGGAATTTGGGTTAAATTTAAATGCCAACTTGTCACCTGTCTTACCATACTCATTCTACCTATTCAACACATCAGTACAAATTAGACCAAAATTAATCTCAAGATTCTTCAAATAAATTAAAGTAGCTAAAACGAAATGCTTTTTACCTTTTGATTTAACCCAACTCTCTTGCAGCAATTTTTTGTGTGAAAAAATGTAACCCAAATGCGTCAAGAAGACATAGGTACAAATAAATACACAGGGATTTAAAATGAACTGATTTAGGCTAAGCACCTATAGGCCCATTTAAGGTGTCCAATATAATTTGTTGATCTGAACGCTAAAATGTATCTTTAAAGGCATGGGGTCCCCCAAAATGGAAGGCCCCAGAGTCAGCCTCTTACTCCACCATTACTCATTCATTCAACAAACACAGTGCATCTACTAGGAGCAGAGTGAGTGTTCAATCTTTGTAATATGACTAAGTCCCTTAGTTTTCCACTGTGGCCTTCTTTACTAGTGACCTGCCCCAAAAGTACACTTACTGAGCTATTCTGAGTGTGGAAAACGCTGGAATCCACCCCACCAGCAAGTCAACAAGTTAGATCAGTATCTTGATTCTACTCTACTCTGAATAAAGGAAATGTTGCAAAATGTTAGTAATTGCTGAATCTGGGTAAAGGATGTATGCTGGTTCATTATATTGTTCTTTCAACTTTTTATAGGCTTAAAATTTTTCAAAATAATATGTTAGGAGAAAAAATTAAAAATAAGAGAAATAAAATTGTGTTGTAGTTACTAAAAGGAAAGAAATAACTTCTCTCTCTTTGCCTTCCAACCCTTTAACTGCCCTTTCAGGATAACAGTCAAACACAAGAACGCAGAAGTACAGAGCCTAACTGGAGGCCGTCCCTGAACTGCACCCTCTTCCCTGCCTGTCATTCTGGCCCGTCGAGAACCCCCTGGCTTGACATCCCCTTCTTCCAATTATAAAGTCATTGCCGACTCAGGCAGAATGTGGAGGAAATTTCCTCCCTTCCCTCTTTTCAAGATCAAAACAAACAACAAAACCATAAAAGGAACAATAAGTTAACACTCACATAACCAAAATGCCAAAGGGAGTTTGTGTTTGCTTTGAATCTTGTACCTTCACATTTTCTTTTAATTATAAAAAAAATTATGAACTGTGAAAGTCCCCTTCCCTGTGTTCCCTTTTTCAGAAGGGCACTGCCCTTCCTCCCTGAGATGATCATTATCACTTATGATGTCAACTCTGTCTTACAACCCGTCCTCAACCTTTATTACTAAGTACATTCTATTATTAGCTACACTTTTTATTTCAGATTCTGGTATTTTGCCACCTCGTCATCCCCTAGCTTTCCCGCTAGCAGACCTATGCATTTAGCCAACAGGACAGACAAGGAGCTGCCAGGCCCCCACCCGTGCAGGCTTCTGCTCTTGTGCCTGGCCAAGCCTCAGCACAGCACCTCCCACCCAGCATCTCTCAAAAGACCTTTGAGATCAGGAGATGGGTATTTGTACATCACACAAAAAATAATTCATAAAACATTGAATTACCATCTGGGGGAAGTGGGCACATTAAGAATACAAAAGTCTACCTAGAGAAGCAAGCATATCATGCAGATCTTCCTTGTCGATGAAACCGTCTCTGTTCTGATCTATCATGTTGAAGGCCTCCTTGAACTCCTGAATCTGTGACTGGTCAAACATGGCGAACACGTTGGAAGTTGCGCGCTGGGGGCGCTTCTTGGTGGTCTTGGTCTTTGCCTTTTTGCTCGACATGGTGGCTGTTTAATTCTAAATTAAAAAGAGAAGAACATAAAGCCAAAAAAGAATGCATAAAACATAAAGCAAAAAAAGAACTCACAACACCTAAAGTTAGTGAGTAAAAATAATATAGAAATACTAATTCGAGTAGGAATAAACATTCATTTAAACTTTGTTTTCCAGTGTGACCATTAAATGGCTAGGAGAAAAGTAGTTAAAAAAAATTAAGACACAGAATAGAAATTATTGATATAGCTTCTTCTCCCCAAATTTCACGGAACTCATTTTTATTAAGTGAGAATTAAAGTATGTAACAACAGCTAGCACTCACCAAGTGCTTACCACGTGCCAAACACCAGAATGACGGTGGGGCTCCCCTCAAAAGAAAAGCTCCAAAGCTCGTTCCTTGCTCTCACAAGGACTGTCCACTTAATCCTCACGACGATCCCATGCAGTGGGCATACCTTTTATTTCTACTTTACTACCAATATTGCATAACTCTCTGAGCCTTGGTTTTTTCCCCTTAAAACATGGTTTGAATACCAGGGAAGCTCACTCAATCCTCAGTTTTACAGCAAAACACAATAATATTTAAGGTAGTGCAAGTGAGATTTAAATAACACATGCAAAGACACGAGGACACTCACTGTATGGTGCATGTTCACAAGGCTCTCATCTTTAAAAAAAAAATCATCAAAACACATCTTGAATCCTGTATCCCTTCTAGCTACATTCTCACTTCCCCTTTGCCTTGACAAAACTTTTAAGATAGCAGCCTACTATTCCACCCTCCCCGTTTCCTCATCTTCCCAATCACTCCTCAATTCTCTGTAAGATGGCTTTAAGTGGTAGCCTCAAATACTCTACTGAAAGCCACCAATAATTTAAATGTCAAACAGAATGGACATTCCTCATTCCATTTTTCATTTGCAGTTTCAAATAATGTAAATAAATACAACACAAAAATACTATTGGTTTTGGAGTTAGAAAAGGCCTGAGTTCCAATCTCAGCTTCAACATTAGCTACATATAACCTCAAAAGCCCATGGACACCAGAGTAAGTTTTTGATCCAAGGTCTTATTCAATGTTCATAACTGCCCTACAATAGGTACTACGTAGATTAAAAAAAAAAATCCATGGCCTTTGTGTAGTTAAGAATTTAATTTTGCCCAAAGAGAGGTCTGGCCTTTGTCCTCAGCTCCTGGGAGGTAATCTCTAAGCCCTTAGAATGTCCTGCCTGGTATATCTGGGGTCTTGGGTCACACCAGATAGTCTAACAATGTGATTTATCATGGGGGCTTTGGGTCACGTGTTATCAGCTTGATCTCTAGAGGAACTGGAGACTGAAGTCTATGTGACAGAGTCCCAATAAAAACCATGGCTCTCAAGGATTGAGTGAGCTCCTCTGGTTGGCAATACTCCACGCACTGTCACACCTTGTTGCCAGAAGTCAACACTGTTCATGGGAGGGGACCACTGGAGGCCATGCATTTGGAATTCCCCTGGACTCTATTCCAGGTGTCTCTTCCCTTGGTTGATTTTAATCTGAATCCTTTTACTGTAATAAATAATAACCATAGGTCTAACAGCTTACAGTGAGTTCTTGAGTCCTAGCGAATTATTGAACCTGAGCGTCATCTTGGGGAATCAAACTTGCAACTGGTGTCAGACATGAGGGTGGCTTGGGGACTCTTCCCTAACTCTGCAGCCCCATTGTGTGAAAGCAGATGACTGGCTGGGCAGTGGCTCAGCAAGAGAATTTTGGACCAGGGTCTCTGGCACTTTTAGTCTTGGATTTTTAATTTACAGTTTTTACTTCTCTTTCTTCAATCTAAAAAAATACCCCCCAGGGTGTTTTGAAGCTTGGCTTAGAGGTGTTGACCAGAACTACACCAGTCTTAAGAGTCCTTACTCTCACATTCCAACTCCTTCCCCTCCCCACACACTTGGCCTGAATACATGTTAATTTTCTCCTTCCTGTAACTTAGCTTGTTATGTTGATCTTAGTTGTATTGAAGGTTAAATCAGAGACAGATTGTGGTCCACTGGCAAGGCACTTGACTCTGCTTTAATTCTTCACATACCAAAACTGTTGGATTAAAATTCTTTCTTATGCTAAAAATTCTATGATTCTATTTCTTCAAGATTCATAGGAATAAATGACGGTAAATCTGAAGGCAAGAATTAGTTTTATCTCTCAGTATCAGCAAATTATGCTTGTGATAGAGTCATTGAGAAAACCCTCCCAAAGAGCAAGTCTTTATTTTTAAAAACTAATTGGTCAGATTTTATCAGGCTAACCCTAAAGTATATTATATTTAAACATTTTTGAAACTTAGTTGGAGTTCTCCAAGAAACTGAGGTCAAGATAGGATTAAACACACAAGGATTTTTATTAGGAAAAATGCCTTTGAGAGAGAATGGGGAGGTAACCCAGGAAGGCTAGAAAAGCCATTATCTGGTGAACAAGCCTGAGTCACCAATCAAAACACGTTACAGAGCAGATACGGCTCACTGCGATTTCTTTTCAAAGGAAAAAAGCTTACTTTCCCTCGGTATGCCATTTAAAACCAGCGCACACTGGTACTGTATATGGTACCTATAAAAAGCACACACACACACACACACACACACAATATCAACTGAAACCGAAACATCAGCTGAAAAAGTGAGGCAAAGTGGGAGCAAATCAATCTGAAGAGAACTCTGGCCCCCAAATAAAGTACCATCCTCTCTCTCCTCACCTTCTGAGATAAATGTCTTGGCTTTCTCCACTTTCTCACTTCCCACTCACCACAATCTGGCTTTCTTTTTCTACTGTAACCGCTTCTGCATCGCCAAAGCCAGTCTAAGTGTCTTTGGACCACTCTGCTATTTGACACCATTTTAACTCTCTTCCTTTCAGGCCTCAACAACCCCTGCCCTTGGTGAACTGTAACAGCAGAAATGAAGTGTCTCAAAGGGAAGACAGCCCAAGGTTCCCAACCTTGAAGGCCCTCCACTCTGATGGAGACTCCTGAACACCACACTGGAAAGACTGGTTTGTGTAAAACGCTGTATCTGACTTGGTGACATCAATCTCCCGTCAGTTCTATTTCTGTGGCTGGTCCTCCTCCATCTTCCTGTTAGGCTCCTACCTCCTCCACTCACTTAAATATTCACGTTTCCCAGTGTTCCAGCAGCCCACGGCTTATTAAGTTCTTTTCACTCTGCATTCCTTGGATGATCTCACTGACTCTCGCTGCTCCGACAACACCTATGACTCCCACGTCTGTACCTCCAGGTCTGACCCTTCTGGTCAGCTCAAACACCCAACTGTGCTTGTGAAAGGCGCCCGCCGGCTATCCCACAGACACTCACAATCACCGTGCTAGAAACTGAATTACCATCCTCCTCCTAAACTTCCTCAACTTTCTGTTTTCTGTCAGTTAATGGCACCATCATTTACTCACAAAGCCAGAAACCTAGGAGTCATCCCCAACTCACCCCTCTCCCGAGCGACCCAGCCCTGCCTCTTAAATACTTACCAGATTTGCTCATTTTCCTCTGCCACCTCCCTGAACTGGGCCCTCATCAACTCTTTGGGCAGAGTATTTCAATGGCCAACTAACCCAGCTCCTTGCTTTTTGGTCCCCTCTAAACTACTCCTTGTCTTCCAGCCAGAGGTGTGCAAAACATGAATATGACTGTATCATTCCCTTTGGAGAAACCTTTGGCTCTCCACCGCCTGCCGGACAAAGGACAAGCTCTTAAGCATGGCACACAAGGTCCTCCTTGCCCTGCTCCAGAATGACCTTTCCAGCTTCATCCCGAGCCATTCTCTGCTCTGTACCCTTCCCTCAGCAACACCAAACCACTAGTATGTGCCTAAGCCACGCCCTTCCTTAACTTCTGTATCTGTTCTTGCTGTTTTTCCATCCCCCAAATGCCTTAGGACCAGAGAGAGAATTAAAGGTCTTTTCAGCTATGGCTACTAACACACAGGCAGTGGCTATGGTTCTGAGTTGTCGGCTGACACCCTGTAATAACAGATTAACAACAGAAAAACAAACAGAAATTTATTAGCTCATGTATACATGGGAGATACGCAGGGAAAATTCAACTCTCAGAGGTAGTTTAGAACTCTGGCTTAAATATTACCTTCAGCTGCAGCCAAAAGAAGAAAGGTGTGTGTGAAGGGGAGAGGCTAGTAATGGAGGGTTAAAAGCACAGTAATAAACAAGGGCAAGGCTTCTCACACAGACTCAAGTCAGGCCGTTCTCCAGTGAGAAGAGTCTAAAGTCTTCTCCAGAGAGTAACCTTTGTCCTTCCTGGCAGAGGGAAGGAAGGACACCTTTGTAAATTTGTGTCCTGCTTTTAGGCAAGTTGGGGGGAGGGCAAAGGGCTTTTCTTGTGTCTGCTTCTTCTCAACTGCCTTCAGCTCAAAATAATCTTCATGCCAAACTGGTATATTCTTTCACCCTTCATAACCAACAGGATATTGTGAAAATGATGAAGTATGCCTTTGTCACGATAGGTGTCGCAGGTTTTGCTGTGCTCTTTCTCAGACTGCTCAGTCTGGGGGAAGCCAGCATCAGGCCCTGAGGGCATCACACCACCCTCTGGAGAGGTCCACAGGGCAGGGGGCCAGCGCCCACTTGCCAGCCAGGTGAGTCAGCCAACTTGGAGGCTGATCTTCCTTCAAATGACTGCAAACCCAGTGGCTACCTGGACCGCAGCTCCAGGAAATCCTGAGCGAGAACCACCCAGCTAGGCTGCCCTGAGATTTCTGACCCTCAGAAGCCGTTCACTGTTTTCTTAAGGGGCTAAGTTTTGGGGTAATTTGTTATATAGTGATAGAAAACTAATTGTCTTCTAACATTTAATAGGGCAATGCCTTTATTTCAGAATTATAGCCAAAGAATTTTTAAAACTCGAAGGGGCCACAGCCAAGTCTGCACTGGATAGGGAACTTTCTATTCCTGCTTAGCAAATTTTAATTCCTTCTACTCAATTTCTCTCCAAGTTCTGTGAGTTCTTCTTTTAACTG